AGAGAGAGAGAGTACCAGAGCCTGGGGAAGACAGAGGGGAGAGAAATAGTCGCACAAGAATTGCGGTGGGTTGACTGGGACCCTCCCTCCCCCCGACCTCCAGCTGCAGCGAGGACCACGGGGAGGGGAGCGCGGTGGTGGGCGTCGCAGGGCCGGACCCGGCGCGGCTCCCCTCCGTCGCCACCTCCCACCCCGGGGACCCCTCTGGCCCGGGCGGCCGCCGGAGGCCGGGGATGGCGGATTCGTGCCAGAACCTCACGTACGTGCGGGACTCGGTGGGCCCGGCCACCAGCGCCCTGATGTTCGTGGCGGGCGTGGTGGGCAACGGGCTGGCGCTGGGCATCTTGGGGGCGCGGCGACGGTCACGCCCCTCGGCCTTCGCGGTGCTGGTCACCGGGCTGGCGGTCACCGACCTGCTGGGCACGTGCTTCCTGAGTCCGGTGGTGTTCGCGGCCTACGCCCGCAACAGCTCGCTGCTGGGCCTGGCCCGGGGCCGCCCGGCGCTGTGCGATGCCTTCGCCTTCGCCATGACCTTCTTCGGCCTGGCCTCCACGCTCATCCTCTTCGCCATGGCCGTGGAGCGCTGCCTGGCGCTCAGCCACCCCTACCTCTACGCCCGGCTGGACGGGCCGCGCCGCGCCCGCCTGGCGCTGCCCGCCATCTACGCCTTCTGCGCCGTCTTCTGCTCGCTGCCCCTGCTGGGCCTGGGCCAACACCAGCAGTACTGCCCGGGCAGCTGGTGCTTCATCCGTATGCGCTCGTCCGAGCTGGGCGGCTGCGCATTCTCGCTGGCCTACGCCAGCCTCGTGGCCCTGCTGGTGGCCACCATCTTCCTCTGCAACGGCTCGGTCACCCTCAGCCTCTGCCGCATGTACCGCCAGCAGAGGCGCCACCACGGCTCGCTGGTCCCCAGCCCCCGGGCGGGTGAAGACGAGGTTGACCACCTGATTCTGCTGGCCCTCATGACGGGCATCATGGCCGTGTGCTCCCTGCCTCTCACGGTGAGTCCCCTCGGCAGATCGGGGTGGGCGGTGGGGAGGAAGGCAGAGCCCAGAGCCGTCCTCCATCGTTTGTACCCATTTCACACATGGGGAAACTGAGACCCGAAGAGATGAGAGGCTTTGTCCAGGCTTGCTGGAGAAGTCTCCCCATTTGCTTCTGCCCCATTTGACCCCTTCTGACCCTTGTCTCCCCCTTCCACATCTCTAGCCCCCCAACCCTACCAATTCCACCCCCCACCAACCTTCTCCTACCCCTACAATGATAATAAGATCCGCCATTTATTGCTCTCTGTCCACCCTGTGCTCAGTGGTTTAGAAATCCTTTCTCCGATAATCTCCAAAATGATCTTATGCATCTATTCCACAAGCATTTAGCAAGAAATGTGACGAAGTCTCTGCCCTGTCACCATTTTTACAGAGGACAGGTGATGATGTCTTTTGCCCATGATCACACAGAGGCAGGTCTGCACCCTGGGCTCCTCTGATGCCAGAGTCTGATCTCCCTGCCACCGTGCTCCCCACTTCCCCAGCCCCACCCATGGGTCTGCCCTTGGCATCTCCTCGCCTCGCCCCTTTCCTGCAGGAACTCCTGCCCTGCCCCTCCCAAATTGCAGCGGGGCCAACCCTGGCCCTGTGGCACCCAGTCATCCTGTCTATACTCTGGGCCTCGGTTCCTCTTTCTGTAAAACGCAAAGGCTGGGCTAGATCTGAGGGTCGTCAAACCTTTGGGGGGTTACAGAGGACTCAGAAACTGGACACACACAGACACAGCCCTGGGACCCAGCCCTACCGCCCCATCTCTCTCCCTCTAGGGCTTTGCTGGCTGTCTCCTGGGGCTTTCTCTCCCTCTGCTCCCCAGATGCACTTGTTTGTTAGTTTTCATCTTATCTTATTTCCTTCCCCTTCGGACAGGCCACCCCTCCTTCGTTTCTGCCAGTGAGCAAGTGGGGGGAGGGGATCGAGGGTGGGGCGTGGGTGGGGGCAGAGGACTCGTGGGTGCTGCTTGACACCCTCACTCTGCCCTCAGATCCACGGCTTCACCCAGGCCATCGCCCCGGACAGCAGTGAGATGGGGGACCTCCTCGCTTTCCGTTTCAATGCCTTCAACCCCATCCTGGATCCCTGGGTCTTCATCCTTTTCCGCAAGGCCGTCTTCCAGCGGCTCAAGCTCTGGTTCTGTTGCTTGTGCCTGAGGCCCGGCCCGGGCGACTTGCAGACGTCCCTCTCCCAGCCGGCCTCGGGGAGGAAGGGCTCAAGGGCCCCCACTGCTGTCGGGGGGAAGGATGGGAGCTGGGTGCATTCGTCAGCCTGGGGCGAGGGGCAGGGGGCACCCTTGCCTGTCCTACAGCCATCCAGCAGCACCGTGGGAACACTGTCCAAAGTGGGGTCCGAGACAGCCTGCTCCCTCTGCTGACATCTGCCCCGTGATCTCCTGCCCTGTCTTCCGAGAGCAGCAGCCAGAAATTCAGGGACTTGACCGGTGGCTGCAGGTGGACAAGCCCAGAGCTGGATCCTGGAGCCCAGCCGGCCAGAATGTTGACCCCCTGGATTCAGGGGGGTGACCAGCTGCTATTTCTCCTCCTCAGTTGTGCCTGGAAAACCAGGCACACGGGGTGGCCTGGTTTTCCACGGGGTGGCCACGATGGGCTGTGGGAGGAGGGAGAGAGGGAGAGGAAACAATTATCCTGGAGCATAAAAAGAACAGTTCTCTCAAAATATCCGGTGACCTGGGTGGCCTGGTCTGGCCCTCGCTTTGCCTATCCATCTCGCTGTCTAAATATTTAGAAGGCAGAAAAGTTCCCAACAGCTTCTGTGCACTCAGGTCTGCTCTGGTTAGGGTTCTGGCTCTGATCCTCATTCATGCAGGGTGCCCTGGATACCCACCCCAAACCCCCAGCGGACAGCCCTGCCCTCTCCCAGTGCACTCCAAGAGCCACCCTCTCTCTGCCTCATGGGAGCCCAGGATTCTCCGACAAGCTCCCTGCTTCCCTTTACTTCTGATTCCCCATCAGACTTGGGAGGCCTGGTCCCCGCAGGGGAGGTGAAGAAGGGGAGACTGTTGCATTGTGGGTGACACCACTGGACAGGTGCCTGGAAACTGCATGGCTTGGTGAGTTGCAAGATGTGGATGGTGGGGCCCTGGGCTGGGGGAGAAGCTGGGGAATGAAGCGGTGGGAGGTACAGAACCCAGGGACGGCCCAAGAACTCAAACCTAAGTCCTGTGCCTGTCCCTATGCCCCCTCTCAGAGCCTCACTTCACCGCCTGTGTCCTGGGTACTGTCACCCAAATGTCATTCATTCATTCATTCATTCAACATAGTGGTCGCTGACTCTACCAAGTGCTGGGGACACAGAGCAGTCTCGGCCCCACCCTGGGTTCCTCTGGGGTGATTTCCAGCCTTCAATTCCCCTTCTGATTGCTGGGGTGATGTCCAGCCATCCACCCCTCCCCCCTTCTCGTTGCCATCCCCTGCCCTCAGGTACAGAATTCAAGGGTTTTCCAGGAGTGAACATGAAAGGAAGTGGTGCTTCTGCTGGTGGGAGGAGGTGAATGGGAAAGTCCCCCCAGACTCACCCCCCCAGCCCTGGGTTCCCCTTTCTCACTTGGCTTCAGGGTTAAAACAGTAAATCTGCCCCTGGGGAGGACTGGAGGAGTAGATGAGGCATGAGCTTCCTATAAAGACAATAGCGGCAGCCATGGAACCCGTGGCCCCTGCAGTGGGAGCCCAGAGTCCTAACCACTGGACCACCAGGGAAGTCCCTGGTCTACCTTTTTAGCTTCTTAGCTCAGATCACTGTTGGGCTGATGAGTTTGCTTTGGTTTCCTTTTGCGTAGAATGGTGATCATAATCTAATACTTAGCTTACGAGGCCGTGCTGAGGATTAAATGATTCCCCCGAAAAGCAGTTTAGCACAGGGCCTGGAGTAAAGCCCACAATACGGGTTACTGTCACTGCCGTTGTTATTGTTGTGGCTACTGTAGTGGTCTTTGGCAACTGGGCAAATGCTGTTTGAAAACAACGCTTTTCTCCATTGGTTTGACTTCTTCCCACCAGACATTATGTTTCATTTGAAGGGGTGTCTGCGAGAGTTAAAAATAGGTCAAACGACTGCTTAATGGGTATGGGGTTTCCTTTTGGGGTGATGAAAATGTCCTGGAACTAGATAGTGGCGGTGGTTGTACAACGTCATGAATGTACTAAATGTCACCGAATTGTACTTTTTAAGATGGTTAAAAGGGTACATTTTGTGTTATGGGTATTTTACCACAATAAAAAAAAAAATGTAATACTGAAAAAAAAAATTGAGGAAGTTTAGAAACTTTTATAGCAGTCTTGCCAGAGAAATATTGTATCGCTTGAATTTATTTTTCATTTATTTTTAGCATATTTTATTTTATTTTATTTATTTATTTTTGGCTGCGTTGGGTCTTCGTTGCCGCGCGCGGGCTTTCTCTAGTTGCGGCGAGCGGGGGCTACTCTCCGTTGCGGTGCGCGGGCTTCTCGTTGCGGTGGCTTCTCTTGTTGCGGAGCACGGGCTCTAGGCACGCGGGCTTCAGTAGTTGTGGCTCACAGGCTTAGTTGCTCTGCAGCATGTGGGATCTTCCCAGACTAGGGATTGAACCAGTGTCCCCCGCATTGGCAGGTGGATTCTTAACCACTGCGCCACCAGGGAAGTCCTATTGCTTGAATTTAATAGTAAAAATTTGACTTGTACCAAAACAAACCAAAAAACAGTTCAAGAAACAACAGGTGGGGTCCGGCCTTTGTTACCAATCCTGGCCCAGCCTCAGTGGGAACCAGCCCAAAGGTGCCCCTGGAGGAGCGTGCAGAAGGGATGGGATGGAGGGGCTGTGTTTCAGGCAGGAGTCGAGGTGGGGCAGGGCTGCCTGTCCAGGCAAGACCCCGGGGGTGGGGGGCACGCTTCCCTCCTCTCTCTGTGCCGCCCCTGGAAGGTGGGTCAGTTCTGGCCTCAGCATTGGCTGAATGGCAGCGCAGGGCTGGGCTTTGGAACCCACGGCATCCTCGCCCAAGGTGGGTGCCATTATCAGTCCTATTTTTCGGATGTGGATTAAGGGGAGGAGAGGATTAAGTGTTGAAGCTGGTTTTCTGCGGGCTTTTACCCACCAGACCTAACATCTCAGGAATCTTCCCCCTTCTCTGCATCCCACTGTTTATCTTAGACCCCCACCAGCTCTGGCCTGGATGTCTACACTGTCTGCCAGGGTGCGGGTTTTCCAACAGCTCCCTCGGCCCCTCCAGGATGATTTGGAAGCTCCTCTCTTGGCTGGTTCCTGACCCCTGACTGCCCGGGTAGCCTCTCCGCTGGCTGCCATGGTCCTGTCTGGAGGTCCTGTCTGAATGGTTCCTCCCCTGCCTGCCGAGCTCCAAGGGCTCCCACACTCTCTGCTTGGCCACAGCAGACGACCGAGGTTTCCCCAAAGAGCCCATGACCTTTGGGGCCTCCACCTCTTAGCTCGCTGAGCTCACCCTTCCCATGAGACGTGTTTCCCCTTCTCCATATGTCAAAAGCTCCCTTGCCCTTCAAGTTCCTGCTTTAGGCTATTCCTCCTCCTTGAAGACTTAATCACTCCTCTCAGGCGCTCTCACTGCAGCCTGTTGTAGCACAGACGTCCGTTCACTCATTCAGCAGGCTCTGATTGAGGGCTTACTGTATGTCAGGTTTTGTCCCTATGACGCTGGGGACATGGCAGGGACAGACAGCCTTGGCCCTGCGCTCCTGGAGCTCACAGTTCAGAGGGGGCAGGGCTGGACGTTGTGATGGGTGGAGTCTTGGGGGACATCAGGGAGGGTTTCTTGGAGGAGGAGATGGCTGAGCCAGGACCTGAGGATTGGAAGAAAGTGAACCAAGTAAAGAAGAGTGTTTCTGTTGTGCTCACAGTTCTGACTCTGGCCTCTGATGCCTCCTTTCCTTCATTTCATTCATTCATTCAACACACATTCCCTTGAGCCTGCTCTGTGCCTGCTGGGGAAATAGCAGTGACTGACACCGCCTTGGCCCTGCCTCGCTCACAATTCAGTGGTGGTGAGAATTTAATAATCATAGAAATATGTATTACAATAAGCCACAAAAATATAAATTTACAAGCTGTGGAATGTACCGAGCACACAGTGAAAGGGAGGCGCCCGCTCTGGTCTGGCGTTGGGGTCAAGAAGTGACACGCTGGGAACAGGTCTGTCTCCCTCAAGGAGACTTTATGCACTTTTAACTTCATTTCTTGATTAATTTCTGACTTTCAGGCACAGATGGAACTTAAGCACGCACACACATATACACCCTGGCCAGTCCCCGGGAGTAGCTGCTCTTGGGCCTTCTGTGGTCACTGCCCCACCTGCTGGTCACACTGGGAATGACACTTAGAGGTGGTTCCAGAGCCACTGCATTGGAGCTCCCCTCTGGGAGGTGAGGGGAACCTGGATTTCCCTCCAGCGGGCCCCAGTTGGGCACCTCCCGATGTGTCCCCCTGTGTAGTCACTTTCTCAGGACAGGTTTTGAGCTGGCCCACGGGATCTGTAAGCCTGAGTTGGAAATGACCCACAGCAAGCATCAGCTGATGCTTGCCCCTCCCTGCCTGCCCATGTCATTAGCAGCGCAGAGCGCCATCTCTGTGTCTGTGATTAATAAAGAATGGGAAAGGGAAGTCATGACTTTTTAATAACGCAGGCCATATGGGAGTAAAAGTCAAAACACAGGGCCCAAGGGGGAAAATAAACGACGGGGCAGTAGAGAAGTGCAGGCAAAGCAATGCGGTCGTTAAAATCGTGGGCATTTGGGATGCGAATAATCTGGGGTTCAAGTCCCAGCTCACCCACTTCCAAGCAGTGTGGTGCTAGAGGTTTTAGCTGCCCCCCCCGACCCCTGCCTCCATTCCTTTCAGTTCTTCTTCTTCTTTTTTTTTTTTGGCTACACTACGCAGCGCAGAACTTCCCAACCAGGGATTGAACCCATGCCCCTGCAGTGGAGGTGCAGAGTCTTAACCACTGGACCGCCAGGGAAGCCCCCTCCTGTCAGCTCTTGATGATAACTTATCTTGTGCTCATATGCCCACTGGGGAGGATGCATGTCATAAATGCATACTAAATTTTATTAAGACTCAACCTGGCCTGGGTGAGAAGTAAATGAGACGATGTCTAAAAAGCGGCACAATATTTTCTGATCCTCCTTTGAGAGACAATTACTATTCTCCATTTTGCAGACTGGTAAACTGAGGCTCAGAGAAGTGAAGTCACTGCTCCAAGGTTATCAGGTAGGAAGTGACAGAGGTGGGACCTGAGGTTTAGTGAGTATACAGACACTGCAGTGGTCACGCTGGGTTGGAGCCCAATTCTGTGAGTCACCAAAACCTATCTTCTTCACAGCTATAAGACCAGAATTTTCCACAGGTATCCTGGCTGCTAAGAAGGCAGCTCCCATCACAGACTCCACCGTTGTGACCCCAGCCTCAGCCTAGCCTTCCCACTGGCTGTCTCTGGCCTACCTGAAATCATCTTAAAAAAAAAAAAAAGACCATTTACTCTAAAGCCAGGCAGCTGAGAGCATGGACTGACTGCTCAGGTCACATCTGGTTCAGATTCCAGCTCTCACTTTCTGCTTAATCACCCTGGACTAGTTCCTGCACTTCTCTGGGCCTCAGTTTCCTAGTCTGCCAAATGGGTACTAACAGCACCCAGCCCAGATGGCTGCTTGAAGGATTCAATGAGATCACGGAGGCAGAGCTTAGAAGACAGCCCGTGGAGTAGAAAGCACCCAATGCAGAGCAGCTCATGCCCCCTGGACGCTCACTGCACCCCAGGCCTGGCTCCTGCGGGCTCACCAATCCTCGGCTGGCCCTGGTCAGTGGGTTTTCTTGGCCATATCACGTGGTATGCGGGACTTAGTTCCCTGACCAGGGATCGAACCCACGCCCCCTGCAGTGGAAGCATGGAGTCTGAACCACTGGACCGCCAGGGAAGTCCCGAGGTCAGTGTTATCACAGCCCCACTTTCCAAACAGGGGCAGAGAGCCGTCTACCCAAGGCCATGCACGCGGTTAAGTGCCCCGGACCCCGAGCTCTTACCCACAACACTCTACCATCTTTACTGCACCAATTTCGACCCACAACCAGATGGCAGAAAAAGGGGGCAGAGAAACTGGGGCTTTGGAAAAATGTGTCTCCTTTCCGCCACAGGAAGGACCCTGAGTTTGAACCCTGCCAGGCTTCTCCGTCCTCCCAAGGCCGGGTAAAGGTGAGCAGAAGTCTTTTTACTCCACTGAGCTGTCTCTGCTCGCCTCCTGCCCAGCCCCTGGTTGAGTGAGAGCAGCTCAGATGTTAGATGAGTCTATCGACCAGTGTTTGGTAGTTGGGGGCGGGGCCTCCCCTCCTTTCTTTTTCATCCCCACTTACCTCAGGGAAGCTGAGGAGCTTTCTATGGTTTGCAGTTGTTTGGGGCTTTTTCTTTCAAATCTTAGTCGTGTGCCCTCTCCAGGAGCTGACTGAAGCTGTGAGCTCAGGATCACGCCTCTTTTCTCCCCACCGCGTGTTCGAACTTGGCACTCAGGGTTCCCGCTTGACACTGGTCACCTCTTGGCCGGAGCAACCTGTCGAGACCGCCCCCCCCCCCCGCGCCCCCGGCCTAGGCCCCCAGGGCCTGACCCTGCCTTCTTGTTCTCTGGGATGATGCCTTTCCTTCCCCCACCCCACGATGATGTCTTTCCTTCCCCCACCCCCACACACCCAGGTGACCACTCACCTTTCAGCTTGATGCTGCCCGCCGCCCTCAACCCCCAAACTGGGATGTTTTTGTTACGCAATGGACCTGCCTCAGGCCTTCTCAGGCCTCATCTTGCAGTCATTCATGTGACTGATACAGGCCCCCACTAAGGCGGGCTCAGTCTCTCTCGCACACGCGTGCAGGTCCCAAGATGTCCAATGGCGAGCACTCAGAGCTGACGGGCTGTGCTGCCAGGATAGAATCCTGCCCTCAACCACCCGGCAGTCTGGTTGGGCTCTGAACTGTGGCTGTGCAGTGCTGAGGCCAAGTCTCTTGAGCGAGCATGGAGGACAGGCTCTTCCGGGGAAGGGCTCCAGGCCCTTGCAGGCAGCAGGCCCATTAACCAAGACAAGAGTAGAAGAGCAGAGTCAGGTAGTCACTGTATTTTATTGGAAAACATTGATATATATTTTTCTTCACAGCTTGAACTGAACACAATATTGCCCGGTTTAAAAAAAACAAACCAAAACACTCCGAAAACATCCACAGCCTAACGCTTACCTGCCCTAACCCTCAGCTCTCGGCTAGGTCTCCCACTATGCCCCATCCCTCCCCTTCCATCCCCCAGAGGTTGGGTGCCTGAGGGTGGGGATGAGAAGAGATTCTCAAAGCTGGGCAGGTCCCAGGAAAAGCCATTTGATCAACCTGGGGCTGGGGAGGGAGT